GACTCTTAAAACACGCTTAGCGTTTTCTTTAGTTTTTTTCCCCAAAAAATAACATAAATACTCAACCAGGTCATATTTAGACCTTTGGTCAGATGATAGATAGCAAATCTCCATCTCCCTTCACCGTTGCGGAGCGCTCCCGCTCTCTTGGCTCGCAAAGAATCGGGTCGATACCCCCAAAAGCAGATGCCCCCCAACGGGGCTCATCCCAAGGGACCCTTTAGAGCTCGTTTTTCTCCCCAAACGGCCCCGGATGCTCCCGCTCGGGCGGCCCCGCGTTGCCGCTCTCGTGGTGGATGTTGCCGGCCGCTCTCACGGCCGATTTGATGGCCGTGTCGATCCAGGCGTGGGGCTGCGCCGCGTGTTCCCCCGCAAAGTGCACCCTGCCCTCGGCCTCGAACAGGGCCTGCGAATAGTCCGTGAACTGGTACGGGGTGAAGGCGGCGAAGGCCCCGAACGAGTGTTTCTCCAGCTGCCACTTCTGCACCACGTGCCGGTCGCAGGTGAATTGTAGATACTCCTTGCTCACTTGGTGCAACACCGAGAGGTCCTCCAAGACCACGTCCAGGCACTCCTCCTCCGTGAGGGGCAGGAAGAACTCGGCGTCGTCGTTCCAGGTGTAGGAAGCCAGGATGACGCCCACGCCGCTGGAGAAGTTGTGGCTGGGGTAGTAGATGAACCTGGAGGGGCGGTCGGTGATGGATTGGCCGCCCCAAATTCCATCCTTCTCCCAGAACTTCTCCCTGCAAGCCAGGACCACCTTGGTGGAGCTGGCGTAGTGCACGGAGCGGAGGGCATGGGTCTTCCCAGAGGACAGCGGTGGCAGGAAATGGATGTGCCTGGTGGCTTTGGCCGAGGACGTGACAAGGACGTAGTCGGCGGCCGCTACACTCGGAGCGAGGGTGTCCGGAGCGCGGTAGAACACCCTGACCTGGTTGTCGTTGGTCATGATCTTCTCCACGGTGCAATTGAACCGCACGACACCCGGCAGCGATTTGTGGAAGGCCTTGGGCAGCAGGTCAAACCCTCCCGTGATTTCATCGAAGCTGGAAGGAGAAGGTGTTGAGCCAAAAAGCCTGGATTTTAGGACCTACAAGACTTGAGCTCTTCTGGAGAACCCTACAAGTCTTTGTAGTTTTGCGTAGAGCTATCAACTCCCTTGTGATGTTGCTGCAGCTCCCAAGACCAAGAGCCTCCAACTGCCCAAGACCAAGATTCTTCTATGTCCCTCCACAATTCCCCCTTTCCCATGGATTTCCATGGACAGGCACAAAACAGGAGAACTTGGTCTTACCTTTCCTCGTCTGAGAAGGTGCTGAAATCCCACAGGGAGGCAAGAAAAGACAAATAAAATCCGGAGTCCTCATTCATCAAGTCGCCAATCATCTGGACGGCTCCTCTGCTTAGGTTTCCTACTTTAATCAAATACTCCTAGGGGAAAAGAAGGATTTTTTGCTCCTTTCTTGTCATTTTAAGAATGCAGATTAGGAAAAGGTACCAGGAAATGGTGACGGAGGAAAGCAGATTAATTCTGATTCTTTCTCCAAATGGGTTTATCGGTGCTAGGAATTAAAAGTATCCATGAGAAAACTCTTTACCTTGGTGGAGAAGGAGTCGTGTTTGGCCAGATACTTCTTGCAGTCTGTAGACTGGAAGTTCTTGAGGGCCTGCAAAGGAAACATGGATAGAGTTATAATGAGGAAAAGTGCCTTTTCCCAGAAAAAAACAGTCCCAAAGAACACAATATTGGAAATAATTTGCATTGCACTTGGAAAAAAAAATCCCTGTCCACCCCTTGAACGTGGGGATGGAAGTGGCACCTTCTCCCCCGTCTCAGAGGGACATGGTGTGACACAAATGAGCCTTGGCCACAAAGTTTCCCATCCCCATAGCCACGCACCTCCTTTAGGGCTTCCCTATAAAGCTGGCTGGCACTTTTTCCCCTTTCCGATGGCTTCACCGGGTATTTGAGGATGTCGGGATTCCTGGAGACGTCCCCAGCTCTGGCTTTGACGCCGTTCACCAGGTACCAGGTGTTTTTGTCCGTGTGGATGAAGGGGTTGAGCTTCAAATGGAACTGCCGGATAAACTCCCGGACGAGCCTGGAGGAGAAAGGAAGGTGGAAAGGGGTGAGGACACATGGAAACCACCCAAAAAGGGCCATCCCATCACCATGGGAATGCTGCTGTTCCGCCTAATTCCTTGGCCATTGGAGGGGAAAAAGAAATGGAAAAAATGGAAAAAAAAACATGGCATTTAATGCAAGCCACAGCATTTAATCCAAAGTGTCCAAACTGGGACGCTTTCCACAGAATCATGGAATTGTTAGGGTTGGAAAAGACCTTCAAGATCATCAAGTCCAACCGTAAGTTGTCTCACTAGCCCCCAATGCAGCCCCTTGAAGCATCACCAGAGCCTTTGGCCTCATCAGCTTCATCCATCAAGGCTGATTCCTGCCCTGATCCCGGTTGGGAAGCGGGATGTGCCCTTACCTGTGTTTGCTCGGCAGCCGCATGGCTCCCAGCTCCGCGTACCATCCCGATCCCTCGTCTCGGTGTGTCCAGATCCGCCCGCCCACCCTGTTGCTGGTCTCCAGGACGGTCACCTAGAAGCAGGGATGAGATGATGGATGTTCCCATGGGAGATATTTCAGGAAAAACTCCCCCAAAACACACATCTCCCCTTGGAGCAAGATATATCCCTGCACTATGGCCAATAGACCATGGGCACATCCCAAACTCTACGCATTGCTCAAGATCCCACCATCTCCAGCGCCAAAAAAAGAACCCGGAATGGGAAAACTGGGATCATCCTTGACTCCTTACCTTGTGTCCGGCGTCACGGAGCAGCTTTGCTGCTGTGAGGCCGCTTATTCCCGCTCCAACGATGACCACCCTCACCGGATTCGTTGCGTTTCCCAGCCCTTTCCGTGCGATCTCCAGCAGCTCATCGTAATCTTGGTCAACAAGGCAATATTCCGGGAAGCCGGAAAACCTCTTGGCACTGAGGAGCCCTACCATGAGGAGCACTTGGAAAAGAACTGGAAAGAGAAGGAAAGAGGGGAAAATTATGATACTGAAGGTGTCTTGCTCCAAAAAAACCCCAACGAGCAGCAAATCAGCGCTGGGACGAGCGGCAGTGTTAGAAAATTGGTGACAATCCCAAGATCAGCAAATTTTTGCCCTCAACGCAGTGTGATTCGCAGAAATCAAGACATTTAAACTAAGGGTTTCCCCACAATAGATGCGTCAACGTTCTGTGGGTCTTTGCACGGAGACGGGAAGTCTGAGCAGAAATTAATTTGGGGAGTTTCCAGTTTTGTTTTCTAGTTGCGTTTTCTGTTCTCCAAAGAAGCAACTGGATAACGTTCGTCTGCTTCTCCTTTTCCTTGCTGATGCTGGGTTCCTTCCAGGAAGATTAAAAATTAATAATAAATAAATAAGTGGTTTAAAACCATAAGGAAGCTCATACTCCTGGAAATTCCCTGAGGAATTGCCACATTCCTTGAAACTGCCGTGGATTTGCTAGTCTGGCTTGAAATGCACCCGAATTGCTGCAAAGAAACCTTGGAGTGGTTTTCCAGAAACCTCAGTGGTTTTCCAGATGCCTAAGATTCCCGAAAACATTCCTGGACTTGCTGCCTCCCTTCCCATCCCAAGCCTCAACCCCAGGGAAGGCGGAGAGCTCTTCCATGGAAGAGCGCGATGCGTTGAGTCCCACTGAGGCCTTCGGGAGCAACCTACGATCTCCACCAAGGCGGTCAGGATGGAGAAACCATGGACCCATTTTGAGAAAATTTCTTGGTTGGGATGGAGAAACCTGATTCAAGATTCCTTGGTTGGGATGGTGTAAGAGACTGTTTTGGATTGTGTTTTTCTTGACATTTTTCCCATACCATTTAGGACTTTTTGACCTAACCACCCCGTCTATCAGCTTGAGGTGTCTTATCTCAATTTATGACTTCCTGGCCTTGGTATCCTGCCTCAAGGAGGACTGAGATGCCATCTCCGGGTGTTTTACCCCCATACAACCTCCTGACCTTGGCATCCTGCCCCTGGGAAGACTGTGATATCAGCTCAAGGTGTTTTATCTGCTCCTTGGCCTTGGCGTGCTGTCTTTGGCACAAGACCCAAAGTCCAGCCATGCCTACGGCACTTGCACTTGATTTGGTTAAGAGGAGCCTCCCTTGACACACGGAAAGACCCGATCCAAGCGGATTTCCTACAGGAACGTCCCCGAGGAACTCAGGTTATTCCTGCATTTTGTACTCTCCTTATTCATCTAACCACGTCCCTCAGCCATTCAAGGGGATGCCGAAGACCCCAAGGTGCCACCAACCACCCAATACGATGACGGAGAGGCCGCCAGAAGAGAAAGCCAAGCAAAGCGACCCAAGACGTTGAGCGAAAAGCCACTCACCGAGCCTGGCCATGGTCCCAACCCGAAGACAAGTCATCCTCTACGTCTGCTTTCATTTTATAGCCTGGCTTTGAAAAAAAAAAAACCACCACCCAACCGTGTTTGCTCAGAGAAGTCCTTTCAATCAACACAGCCCAAGCGTGATTTGCCAAGGAGAAGGGGAACTAGTTTACGTAAATTATATAGAGTCCTCCGTATTTTTTTCTCCCCGGCGGCATTAACAGCTTTGATTCTCAGCCATTAGGTCATAAGACATCCAGCAAAGGGTTGTGATCATCAGGTCACCGTTGGGGTGGCCGCACCCCTCTTTGGGACATCCTGAAGGCCTCGCAGTGGGGAAATACTTGGCTTGGTTCCCCCCACCACAACCCATTTCTGCATTTCTTTCCAGGCATCTCAGTGTTACCACGGATTTTGTCACGCGAGACCACGGAGATGTGACCCCGAATTGGCCTTTCCAAGGGGGACGATGATCTCTGCATCTTGGATTTCTTAACCAACCCATGGTGTTCGGCCATGTTGATCCTCTCTCCAATAACTGGGAAGGAACCTGGATGCCTTCACCTAAATGGCAAAAATTGGTGAGTTGTGCACCTTTTTTTCCACGTTTTTTCCAACTTTCTGGGGTTGAGGGACCTACCAGAACACCCTAAGGTCACCTTAGAGAAGGTCCCCAATCTTGGAGCAATTTAGTCTTCCCGTAGTCTCATTTTTGCTGCCAAATCTTTGAGCGTTGGTGCATCAAAGTTGGGAAAATGGTTGGATTTGTGCCCAATTTAGCAGCTTTCATGACACCAGTTCCCCTCTGTCCTCATTCAGGCCAAATCACTTAATGTCCCTTAACCTTTCCTGATGGGAAAATGGAAATGAAAGTGTCTCATGCTTCATTTTTCTCTCGGCCTCGGATTTTTGTTGCTACTTTGAGGTTTTGTCCTCCAAACCACCCACTCGTCCCTTTGAAATGCTAAAGAAACTCGAATCAAAGGCTTCATTTTTCTCCTTCCTTTTAGTTCCTGGTACCTGGAGATTTCCACAGGAACCTCCTGAGGAGGTTTCACCCGTGCCTATGAATAATGACATTGGGTAGATCTGGGAATTAAGTGATGAAACCAGGAGTTAAGTGTGTCACTCGAGGACACCTTGAGCTGTCGGAGGGCGGATTCCTTGATTTATTTCTCCTGCTATTTTTTGTCTTTTGGGATGGTATTGGATTACTGCATGTCCAGACAAGCCGCCTCAAAAGCAACCTCAAATAACAGGGTTTATTGTTTGAGGGTGAGCAATGCACCCCGTTCGTTGCAAAACGCGCTCGGCCCTGCAATCAGCAAGATTACTGGAAAGGGAACTGCCGATTGCAGCAACCGGCACGGAAAAGCGACAAAAAAAACCCACTGATTTGGCAAAAATCCCATCCGGGAGGACGCGGAAGAGGGTTGTTCCCATTCCTCCTTGCTCCCGATTGCATCCGGGTGCTGCTTCCAGGTTGGAGCCTCCCTGGGATGAGGAAAGCGGGGACAGGAGGAAGCCACCAAGTCGGATATAGGGAGGCCGATTAGTTGCATGCTGGCTAGGAGAGTCTGCAAAACGCGTTTTTATGCCCCAAAACAGCCATTTATACCCCAAAACCACCATTTAAGGCCCACATTGGCTGCGGACGGACAGGCGGCAGCAGGGACCATGTCCCTCTTTGGATGCCGCTATCCAACCTCATCTTAACTCCCATGGAAAGATCCACTCATCCCGGGGCTTTTCCTTTTTAAGTGACTCAAATAAACAAAAAATTCCCCAGATATCAGCTCTTTTTTTTTTCCAAGTCCCCAAATCGTCGTGCAGGAAAAAAAGGATGTGTCAGAAGTGGGATTTGAACCCACGCCTCCATACAGAGACCAGAAATCCCAGGAGAGAGAAGGGCAGATCCTTGAGTCTGGCGCCTTAGACCACTCGGCCATCCTGACACTGCTGAGAAAGGTATTTTTGCTCATTTTTTGCACGTTTTTGCACATTTTTTGCCTTCTTCCCTTTTTTGGCACAGTTTTTCCTTTTTTTTTTACATGGGGCCTTTTTTACATTTTATGCATTTTCAATTTTTTTTGCACAAATATCGAAACTTTCTTGCACATGTTGGCATATTTTTTGCACTTTGCACCATTTCTGCACTTGTTTGCACCTTTTGCACATTCTTGGTACTTTTTTACACTTTTTTGCACCTCTTTGCACATTTTTTCGTACTTTTCTGCCCTTTTTGTGCATTTGGGGCACATTATTACCTTTCTTTTTGTAGATTTTTGCCTATTTTTTTGCATATCCTCGTAATTAATGCACAGCATGCGTGCCGATTTGCATGAGAACGGGAAGAAAAAGATCCGCCGATGTTAAACACCCGGAGGGGAAAATCCTGGGCGCGGCGGGGGGTGGTGCAATTTGTTGCCTAATTAGCGCTAATTTGGCCCGGAGCAAATGAGCTGGGGAAGATTTCGAAGGCGGAAGAGGTTTTTCCAAAGAATTTTTCCGCCTGTGCTTCTGGAAGCCGCCCTGGCATGTGGAGCACGTACAACCGCGAGCGGGAATTTGCGCTGGAATTTCGTCCCGGAAAAGGGTTAAAGAGGAGAAATCCGTCTCTTCTTAGGCGATAATGACAAGATCCGCACCGGGATGCGAAGGATCTTTGGGATCTGCACGGAAAGACTCTCCCCTAGTGCCTACGGATGAGGAAGGAACAAATTCCCACGGGAATGCGGAGCTGCTGGAGGGATCCCCGCCCGAACAGGAGCCTGTTGAGCCGCTCGGAAGCGTCCGGCGAAATTAGCGATTTTTGGCTGACCCGTTTTCCCCCGATCCGCCCCATTTTTCCCAGCCGCGCGGGCGGGGCGCCAAGGCGGAGGGAACCGCGATGACGCAAGGGGGCGTGGCTTTGAGCCTGCGGCTGCGGAGGGGCGGTGCCACTGTGACGCGCCGCGGGGGGCATTGTCCCTCTGGGCCAATAGCGGCGCGCGGCCGCGCGCCTTCATTTGCATAAGGCGGCGGATAAAAGGGGCCGCGCGGCGGGCGCCGCGGCAGAACCATGAGCGCCGCGCGGGGACAGCGACGCCCATCAGCCCCGAGCACATGCAGGCCGCGCTGCGGCACGTCATCCCCAAGCGGCGCCGCGGGCAGCTGCCCACCGTGGGCGCCCGCGGCCTGCACTGAAAACGCGGAAATCCTCCCCAAAAAACCCCAAATCTCCACCCCTTTCCTTCCCTCCTAGAGCTGAAATGTGAAGAAAAGGCACCAAAAGGGAGCAAAAGCCAAAAAAAAAGTCAAAAAGCTGCTGTCAAGCCCTACGCGACTCACCGGTTTGCAAAGTGACGAGAAAAAAGAAGTAATTTGGGCACAAGGGGAGAAATTGCAATGTCTAAAGATGCTTTTGAGGAAGGAAAATCCAGCCAGGATGAACCCCTGGGATGAGAAATGAGCCTGAGGATGGGAGAGATCACAGGAATTTCTATTGTTTAAAGAGGAAAACTACAGAGACCAGCTGCAAACAGAGAAAAATATATATTTAAAAAAGACTCCCCAAATGGCCCTGGAACATCATAAAATCGGTTAAGGAGACAGCAGAAAT